AGCGCTTGCACCTATTTTCTCACTTTATTAGTTCCTTAGCGCTGCATTTCTGTATTACATTATTACATAACTAGTTTGGGGAGTAGGGGTGTAGTTTGGAATGCCCTTGGACACTTCAAACGTTTTGACCCTTTGATAATTTTTAAGCTTCCCACTGTGGATTTGTAGTTCTGTCCAATTGGCAGACATCTACATTGTTGATTGAGGGACCTTTCCCACTGCTGGCTGAATCCAATGCTCATGTTTCCCACTGGCCTCCTGCAGAGTCATTGATGTTATTAATGGGTAAATGTTAATAGAGCGTTTGTTAGATTCATTATTACTTTTTTCAATATGCTAAATATTTATCTTTACTCCCTTGGACTATTTTTGTACAATTTTAGAACTATATACTTTTTCTCCCTTAAGAAGCAGGCTACGTCCCGTGAAACATGTCAGAGAAACAAAGTATCAACTTGGAATGATTATGCCAGCTATGACATTCATGCTATCAAAAGTCATATTTTGCAATGTTATACATTGATTTTGTCTGTTATAAGCAGTATATGATTTTTAAAATGAAAGTGTTATTTGCTCAACTTTCATTACCACATTTGTGGTTTGAATTTTAACAATAAAGCTGTAGTTGTTATTAGAGATGAGCGAATCGAACTTGGCGAAGTGGAATTAGTTTCGAATATTAGGAAAATTTTTCCAAAAATGGCGGCGACATGTGCGGCGACATGTGCGGCGACGGAGCGGGGATCTCTGGAAAGGCGCGCAGACAAGGCGCGCTGACCCATAATGCATTCATTCATGACATGTGATCGCATTAGCCAATCAGCAGCCAGCCAGCCAGCACTGTGTAATGGTCGAGCTATAAATTGCGGCCTTTTAGAATTCTCCATTAGCCTCCAGTCATTCAAGAGAGACAGACCACCTGTCTGTATTGAGGGACAGAGTTAGGGACACAGAACCGTTACTTAGGGACACAGAACCGTTACTTAGGGACACAGAACCGTTACTTAGGGACACAGAACCGTTACTCAGGGACAGACACAGAATTGTTACTGAGGGCCAGACACAGAATTGTTACTGAGGGCCAGACACAGAATTGTTACTGAGGGCCAGACACAGAATTGTTACTGAGGGCCAGACACAGAATTGTTACTGAGGGCCAGACACAGAATTGTTACTGAGGGCCAGACACAGAATTGTTACTGAGGGCCAGACACAGAACAGAATTGTTACTGAGGGCCAGACACAGAATTGTTACTGAGGGCCAGACACAGAATTGTTACTGAGGGACACAGAATCGTTGAATTAAAGAGTATGTCAGACAACACGCAGAGGAGTGGCAGAGGAGGCAATGTTTTAGGAGCGAGCAGACGTGGCAGCAGAGGAAGGGGTCGAGGCAGCACTAGTCGCAGCCAGAGGCCAGTGCTCCCGGTGTCATCCAGCGGTCGTGTCTCCACCGACAACCCTGCCGTCATCGATTGGTTGGCTTGGTCGTCTTCCTCTTCCCAGGTCACCTCTGACACCTACAGCCAACGGTCGGTGGGTACGTCAGACACAACCGTTAGTTGGCATGGCCCGGGAGCAAGCCCACTGAAATCACATGTCCTCTAACTGCCCCTGTCCTTTGGTGTTCCCTCACCAAGCGAAGTATCGCATGCTGTGGGCTCAGCCCCACTGTACAGTGAGGAAGAGCTAACAGAGGGCGGTCAGGAACGGGGGGAGACATCCGCCTCTTCAGCAGCCAGGCAAAGAAGTACTGGCGAGGAGAGTGGCTCGGTAGCCGGTCTAGAGACAGGTCTGTCTCCTGACCCACACGCAGCCGAGGGGGCTAGTAGTGAGGCGGAGACCCTAATTGATGATGATGATGAGGCTGATCGCACTTGGCAGCCTCGTCGTCATCAGGCTATTGCTTCCGCATCATCAGGAGAAGAGGGTGCCAGCTTGGCAGCGAGCAAAACAGTCGGTGGGTTGCCCAGGAGGCAGCAGGGTCGCAGCAGTGTCAGTGGAGGCAAACGGCCACGGAGTAGAGCACCAGCTCCACTGCAGCCTACCACCACGGCCAGTAGTGGTGCCGGAGGAAGTAGCAGTCAGCCAGTGAGGAGTAGCGGGGGCAAAGTTTCCTACTCGGCGGTGTGGCAATTTTTCGTCAAGCCGCCCGAGGAAGTAAACGTAGCCGTATGTCGACTATGTGGTCAGAAAGTCAAGCGTGGCCAGGGGGCCCATGTTGGGACTACAGCGTTGCGTCAGCATATGTAGTGTCGCCATTTGGTGGCCTGGGAAAAACCGTGATAAGGATACGGCGGTTCTGCCTGCCCCAGCCCCCGCTCCATCACCCGCTCCGTTACTTGCTCCGTCACCCGACGTCAATCGCCCTCTATCAGCCAGTCAAGGCTCCAACACCTCTGCTGAGGGGAGTTGTCGCTCGTTGGCATCTTCCGCTCGTTCAGATGCTCCTTCTCCTGCTACTCCTCTTCACGGATTCCGTCAGCAGTCTTTCTTGGAATCCGTTTCCAAGAGACAACAGTTTGCGAGCACGCACCCGACGGTGCAGAAGCTGAACGTCCTCCTGTCCAAGTTGCTGGTGCTGCAGTCCCTCCCTTTCCAAGTGGTGGACTCAGCACCTTTCCGAGGAATGATGGCTTCTGCCGCGCCACGGTGGAGAGTGCCAAGCCGGCATTTCTTCGCCAAAAAGGCAGTGCCAGCCCTGCATTCACATGTAGAAGAGATGGTGGGCCAGTCTTTGAGCATGTCTGTCTCTGCCAAAGTGCACGGCAGCGCCGACGTGTGGAGCTGTAACTACGGTCAGGGACAGTACATGTCATTTACGGCCCACTGGGTGAACGTGGTGCCGGCACAGCCGCACCAGCAACTTGGACAGGTCACGCCGCTTTTGCCTCCACGTTTGCACGTCCTTGGTCCAGCAAAGATGTCCACCTCTACCACCTCTTCTTCCGCCGTGTCCTCAGCCGCCACCCCCGTGCCAAGTCCCATTACCCGACCGGCATATCACATGTGCTGGGCGCAACGGTGTCACGCTGTGCTGCACCTGGTATGCCTTGGCGAACGTAGTCACACAGGGGAGGAACTTCTCAGTGTAATGAACAGAGAAATCGACAGATGGCTGTCTCCGCGCAAACTGAAAATCGGAACCATGTTGACCGACAACGGAAAGAACATGGTGTCTGCTCTGCGTCAAGGAAGGTTGTGCCATGCGCCATGCATGGCTCACGTGTTCAATCTGGTTGTCAAGCGGTTCCTAAAATCCACCATCCCACTGCAAGACATCCTTAAAATGTCACGTAAACTTTGCATGCATTTCAGCCATTCTACACCGCAAAGCACACCCTCCTTGAGCTGCAGCGGCAGAACGGAATTCCACAGCATCGCCTGATCTGCGACGTTGCAACAAGGTGGAATTCAACCCTACACATGTTAGACCGCCTTTACGAACAGCGAAAGGCCATCACCGATTTCCTGATGTTACAAGCGGATAAAGGTACTCCCCTGTGTAACTTTGATGTCAGCCATTGGCAGCTCATGCGTGACACCTGCCGCTTGCTCAGGCCCTTTGAGGAGGCCACGCTATTCGTGAGTCGGCAGCAGGACTATGGGATGAACGACGTCATTCCTCTGTTGCACGTCCTGGAACAAATGCTGTTAACAATGGCTGGTCAGGGTGCGGTAGACGTGGCGCACAGATCTCAACGCCACATGACCCCTGTGGGGACAGGAAGGAAGAAGAGGAGGAGGTAGAGGAGGACATTGGTACTCAGGAATTATTGAGTGAAATGGGTGGTTTTTCCACTCAGCGGACAGGAATGGAGGAGCAGGAGCATCTGGTAGAGGAGGAGGAGGAGGAGACAGAGGACCCAGACGCACCGTGGCAGTATGCTGTGGAGATGGAGGCAGGGAGTCCCTCGCATTTCCTTGGCACAAATGGCCCATAGCATGCTCGGTTGCTTGCGTAGCGACAGCCGAATAATAACCATCAGACAGAGGGATGACTTTTGGCTGTCCACCTTGTTGGACCCTCGCTACCGTTCAAAAATGGTGGCCTTTTTCACACCTGCTGAGAGGGAGGCCAAAATAACGTACTATAAAAACCACCTATGTAGTCAGTTGGTCTCTGCCTTTGTGCGCCAACGTCCATACTCAGACACTGTGGGCCCTGTGCGCTCGCGTTCCGCTGCCATGGCAGCAGGGGAGGGGTGGGGTGGTAGGAGCAGTGGCAGCTCCACCAGCAGCGGCTGCCTCAGTCTGCAGTCGATGATGAGTAGCTTTCTTCACCAGCGCAGTGAGGAAACTACTAACCAGCCGCAGCAGCATCAGGTGGACCTGGAGCAGGACCTCAAACAACAGGGTTGGGCCTACTTGGACAGCACCCTGCCAACCGAGGTAGACAATCCCCTTGACTACTGGGCAACGAAACTTGACCTTTGGCCCCAACTAGCTGAATTTGCCCTTGAAAGGCTGTCATGCCCGGCCAGTAGCGTGGCATCGGAGCGCGTGTTTAGTGCGGCAGGAGGTATTGTAACTCCGCGGAGGACACGACTGTCCACCCAAAGTGTGGAGAGACTCACGTTTGTGAAAATGAATCAGGCGTGGATTAGTCTGGATTTCAAACCACCAGTTCCTGACACAACTGACTAAATCCGCCATGAATCATGCCCCAAACATGTTATTATTTTTAACATAGGCCTCTGTATGGCCTTCAATTTAAGCTGCTTACGCTTCGCCACTCTGCCATGGGCCCCTGTACCGCCTCCTCTTGCTGCTGCCAGGTCCAGAGTGTGTCATGGGTCCTGTACGGCCTCCCATTGCTGCTGTCTCCATCGCCACACTCTGCCATGTGCCACTTTCAGGTCTCCTCACACTGCTGCTGGGTTCCATTTTGTCATAGGGTGCTGGCAGATTACGGGCCTCCCATTGCTGCTGCCAGGCCCGTAATCTGCCATGGGCCCCTGTACCGCCTCCTCATGCTGCTGCCAGGTCCAGAGTGTGTCATGGGTCCCTGTACGGCCTCCCATTGCTGCTGTCTCCATCGCCACACTCTGCCATGTGCCACTTTCAGGTCTCCTCACACTGCTGGTGGGTTCCATTTTGTCATAGGGTGCTGTATGGCCTCCCATTGCTGCTGCCTCCACCGCCACACTGTGGCTCCACACTCTGGTTTTGGCCCCGTGACTGCCCAAATGAGTGAAGTGTGCGGTGATTCTAAGATCGACGGCACTCATCTGCATGTCATAATCTAGAGAATCCTCTTGCGCTAGAAATGGTAAACAACTAATACAGCTGCCAACACTCTCCTACTAATACCTAGTGTAGTGTGCAAACATAAATAAATATATAGTGTGGCGCTCAAAAAAATAAATAAATAAATATGTGATCAATTCATATACAAAATCAATATAATGATTACTAAAATAAATACTCAAAGATAATTACAATAATACCTCAAGTGATCACACTCTAAAAAATAAAAGTGTCTCAAATAAATATATAAGTGCATCAATAGATAACTCAAGTGATCACACTCTAAAAATGAATCAAGTGGCTTAAATAAATCACATGCTTACAATTTGACATATAAGTGACCAAAAAATTGATACCAACTTGTTAAAAAAGTGTAAAAGTGCCAAAAAATAGTGCAAAAGAATATATAAATGTCCGTTCCTTCTATAAATCAAATATATAAAACAATGTTCTTCAAGTGATAAATCAATTCATGCAATAAACGGTGATGCTCAATAAGTGATTTGTGCCAAAATCTTCTCCAAACAGTGGCTAGAATTCCTCCTCACCTCCTCCCTGCGACCCCTAAGGGCCAACAGGCTTGTAGGATCAACCTGGATCCTAGAATCAAAAAGGGCCAACAACTTTTTCCTTCCTTCTTTGTATTTCCTGGTGGGCCTCCTACTTCCCTTATGCAGTCAAGGTGCCTTGAAGAACAATGGCTCACCAATCCAGTGAGCCAAAGAAGAAAACACCCTCTAAGTGTAGCATTAAAGACTCCTTTATTTATAAAATGCAAAGTAGCAAAACTCACATATCTCAGCAGTCCTCCCTCCTCACCGATGTGTGGGTACACTGCATGTGAATTGGGACTTCCTGGTGTAGCAAGATGGCGTCGCACGCCGGAAGTGCGTCACCGCGCACCGGGGACTACGGACTCGTAAACCTACGCGTTACGTCACTGACAACTCGTGACTTCCTCGGGGTAACAGATATCAGACGCAGTTCCTCCCTTGTACAACTATAGACTGTGTCATCTCTCCCGCACTGGCAGCACCGCTTACCGCTCACAATACTGAGGCAGGTATTGTGAGCGGTAAGCGGTGCTGCCAGTGCGGGAGAGATGACACAGTCTATAGTTGTACAAGGGAGGAACTGCGTCTGATATCTGTTACCCCGAGGAAGTCACGAGTTGTCAGTGACGTAACGCGTAGGTTTACGAGTCCGTAGTCCCCGTGTGCGCGGTGACGCACTTCCGGCGTGCGACGCCATCTTGCTACACCAGGAAGTCCCAATTCACATGCAGTGTACCCACACATCGGTGAGGAGGGAGGACTGCTGAGATATGTGAGTTTTGCTACTTTGCATTTTATAAATAAAGGAGTCTTTAATGCTACACTTAGAGGGTGTTTTCTTCTTTGGCTCACTGGATTGGTGAGCCATTGTTCTTCAAGGCACCTTGACTGCATAAGGGAAGTAGGAGGCCCACCAGGAAATACAAAGAAGGAAGGAAAAGTTGTTGGCCCTTTTTGATTCTAGGATCCAGGTTGATCCTACAAGCCTGTTGGCCCTTAGGGGTCGCAGGGAGGAGGTGAGGAGGAATTCTAGCCACTGTTTGGAGAAGATTTTGGCACAAATCACTTATTGAGCATCACCGTTTATTGCATGAATTGATTTATCACTTGAAGAACATTGTTTTATATATTTGATTTATAGAAGGAACGGACATTTATATATTCTTTTGCACTATTTTTTGGCACTTTTACACTTTTTTAACAAGTTGGTATCAATTTTTTGGTCACTTATATGTCAAATTGTAAGCATGTGATTTATTTAAGCCACTTGATTCATTTTTAGAGTGTGATCACTTGAGTTATCTATTGATGCACTTATATATTTATTTGAGACACTTTTATTTTTTAGAGTGTGATCACTTGAGGTATTATTGTAATTATCTTTGAGTATTTATTTTAGTAATCATTATATTGATTTTGTATATGAATTGATCACATATTTATATATATTTATTTATTTTTTGAGCGCCACACTATATATTTATTTACATCTGCATGTCATACTGACTGACAGTATTATTTCTCTTTCCCCAGCAGACTCCAAGGGCATTTAAATTAAAGGTACAGTGTTCTGCACTAATATAAAGGCTCTCTGAAGCCTAGAAACACCCTTTTTATAAGTTAAATTCGCAGCGAATATATTCGCATCGAATCGAATTTATTCCTCGAATTTGCCGAATCAGCCGAATCGAATTTTTGAATACTTCGCTCATCTCTAGTTGTTATATTCTTTGAGTATTCATTTTTGTGGTATAATGCTTTTAAAACCCCATTAGTTTTTTTCTGTTAGGGCTATGTATTTTTCAGTGGATGAAGAAATCTGTGCCAAATAAATTTTTTTAAATATTTGCTGAAGCATAGGTGCCATCCACCCACTGGCCACCATGTTTGGGCATATATGCTCTTCTTTTTTTTTTTTTCTTTTTTTTTTTTTTTTTTAACTGCAGATGAAAAATCTTACCCTCCAGCACTGCACACACTTATTTATGTATATTCTGAGAGCAAGACCCTGTTGCTCTCAGAAAAAACAGATTGGTGCTCCAGCTGAATGGCAGTCCTGCAAAGAAAACCGCAACGGTTAACAATAAAACAGTAACTCAATAAAACATACTTTGTTATTGATATATGTACCAAAAAATATTATAAAATAAATATATGCCGAAGCATAGGACCATTCATCCCAGGCCCCCATACTTGGACATATATGCTGTTTCTTAACTGCGGATGAAAAATCTCATTCAACAGCGCTGCACACACTTATGTATATTCTGAGCGCAAGACCTTGTTGCTGTCAGAATAAACAGATTGGTGCTGCAGCTGAATGGCATTCCTGCAAAGGAAACAGTAATGGTTAACAATAAAACAGTAACAGCAAAACCGTAACAGTAAAACTACTTAACAACAATACAACTGTTTTTGGTTTTGAAATGTCAAATTTTTTTTTTCTTTTTTAAACTTTTAATCAGATGGTAGGGTCTCTCAAAATGTGATAGCCAGTTTCCTGACTATCTAAAATCTTTCAAGACCCTCTGTGAGAATTGTGAATATGTGCTCTGAACTGCACTGTGCTGTACCCTATACTAACAGTCCACTAGTGCATGGAAGCAGTCCTTGAGGCAGATACCAGGTTGGCCAGTACAAGAGGGAAAAAAAAGGTTTAATGCCTAATTCTGTGTCTGCTACAGACACACTTTTTTTTTTTTTTTTTGGGTGTCCTTTGCGTTGGGGTACCAGGAATGGCCTCTCATGCATTCGGCTAACTGCATCTGGGTTGGGGTTTTGAGCCATAGCACCTTCTGGATACAAAAAGGCCATGATGATCTCTTCCTGGAATTTTAGGAAGGATATCCAGTTGCTTTGTAAAGCACAAAAGCATTATATAGAGCTAATTGAAATAAATAAACAGACACTTTTTTATACCAGCATCTGGCTTTTTGGGAAACTAAGTATGGCTTCATCATCTGGTCATTTGAAGTCCACCCCTCCTACAGTCAGGTCCATAAATATTGGGACATGGACACAATTCTAACATTTTTGGCTCTATACACCACGACAATGGATTTGAAATGAAACGAACAAGATGTGCTTTAACTGCAGACTGTCAGCTTTAATTTGAGGGTATTTACCACATCCAAATCAGGTGAACGGTGTAGGAATTACAACAGTTTGCATATGTGCCTCCCACTTGTTAAGGGACCAAAAGTAATGGGACAGAATAATAATCATAAAATCAAACTTTCACTTTTTAATACTTGGTTGCAAATCCTTTGCAGTCAATTACAGCCTGAAGTCTGGAACGCATAGACATCACCAGACGCTGGGTTTCATCCCTGGTGATGCTCTGCCAGGCCTCTACTGCAACTGTCTTCAGTTCCTGCTTGTTCTTGGGGCATTTTCCCTTCAGTTTTGTCTGTTGATGTTTTTTTTTTTGCTACAGCCAGTAAATTCCCCAGCATGGTATCCTATGTGTTCATGCACACACAGACTGTAATTAACGTTTTTTGCAGGGGAGTTTTTTGGCTGGAGAAAAAAACCTAGGACCAGTGGGTTTCTAGAGGTGTTTTTTAGCTATAAAAATGCTCTAACGCTGTAAAATGTGGTAAATCATGGCAAACTGTCATTTTTGGAATTTTTTTGGTCAAAAAACCTGCTAAAAACCGCAAATGTGAAAAAACGCTGCTAAAAGCTAATGCTAAAAATGCTAAACGCTGAAAGACATGTTTTTAATGTGACTTTACACAGCTAACCAACGTTATTAAAACGCCCCATGTGCTGTGCATGGAGCCTGAAAACGAAAGAAATGACTAATGCAGATAGCAGACGAACTAGAGTATAGACAGAAATCACACTCAATGTTTTGGATTGTGGCGAGTGCACACTATAGAATGATATGTTTTGTTAATTTTTCATGTCCAAGGTTTACAACCATTTTACATTTCTAAACATTTTCTATAACAGAAAATCTTTACTTCTTGAGTTCAGGTTCAAGGAGAGTTCCTGCAATAGAAATGGATAATGCTTCCAAGATGTCATCAATAACTAGATTATTATGTCTAAAACAGGAGCTGTACTTCATAACTTAAATTGTGAAATATAATATAATGCAATATAATATACACAGAATTTCTAAATAACAGTTTGCATGTCCATGTCTGTATGTAAATGTATATGTCATTGTTTTGCTGAGTATGCCTGAGGATAGTATTTATGCGGATGTTTACAATATAAATTGCCAGGATTTGCACTTGTGTCATTTCATACTTTTAATGTCACACAGAATGAACCTTACACTGAGGACTTCATTCATAAAGCCTACAGCTATTAACCCATTACATAAGATGCAGTCACTAGAGACCATCTGCAGCAAGATGTCGGTGTAGGGTAAGGAAAGTGTATGTTGTAGCAGCAAATGCTCACCAAATGTGTATTAACATTTCCCCCAGTCACTGACTGTCATTTTATAGAGGACACGTAACTTACAGCTTTGATTTATGGATATCTAGGTAAGTGATAATAGCGGTTTGCCTTTTATTTAACATGCCATGCTGGACAGGAGGGAGGGGGGAGAAACATGCACACAGGTGTGTGTCACATTTTCAAAGGGCAAATTTCAAAGGCACAGGATTATGAATAGAAGTGAAAAAAATGTTTTCATCTTCATTCACACTTACTAACTGCCTTGCTTCATTCAATCAGCAAGGCAGTGCAAAACGGAGTAATCCCATGCAAAGTATAGGAAAACATAACAACCTATCAAATTTTGGTTCCCTAAAGCAGCCTTTCTCAACCAGGGTGCCTTGAGGTTTCTTCTGGGATGCCTTGCAAAATGCCTAAAAATGACTGAAAGCTTGTATACAAGCCAGCAAGTGGAACAAACCTGTCTTAAGTTACACAAAGCCACAGGTTTTCATTGTACACCATTACAACCTTTTAGCCGCTGGAGTCCTGACAACCAATAACCGCATCAGTTGGTAAGGAGGATGTTAGCTGTCTGCATAGCATCCTAATTTGACCCTCCCCCGCCCCTCTCCATCAGTGTTGGGGTCACATTAGCTCAGTGATGGAGATAAACTTAGGGAGAAGAGAAACATTGGAATACTAGTCAGTACCAGAGTGCAAAGGTGTATTTGCCTTGGAAGAACAACTCACCTCTAATGTTGGGTGCCCTACATGTGTGAATGTTGCTGTGTTATATAAAAACTGTTAGAATAGTTTTTCACATTTTAGAACAGGGTGCCTCAAGACTGTCCATAATTTTAAAGGATGCCTCGGTGGGACTGTCCATAATTTTAAAGGGTGCCTAGACTGAAAAAAGGTTGAGAAACACTGTCCTAAAGTGATATCATGCCAAGCTACAATCAAATTGATTGTTTTATTAGCTACCCAAGAAGTGGTAAGGAAGGATTACTGGTTACGATAAATCTTCCCAGATGAGACTTCGGATAGTCTTAGATCAATGGTGTAATATGACGTACATAAAGCAGCATTAATCCTAAATAGACCAATTTACACTATTTCAGTTTACCAAGCCTTAAATGTGATGACTGCATTCGTTTTCATTTAGGGCCAGTTCACACTACATGAGTTTGTGTGCTATTTTTTTCTACATCCAAAATGCACAGAAAATAGGTTATATGGTTGTCAATCTCATCAGTGCTTGCAGTTCCAGTGCATTCCATTTGTAGTAAAGTAGAACAGGCTGCATTTTTCCTGCACAGAACTGTACTGGAACATGGTAAAATGCATCAAAAATGCACTGGAATGCACCAAAATGCATAAAAAATACACATGTCCCTGTTTTAATTGAAGGAAAAGAGGGGAAAAATTAACTGGAAAGCATCAAAAAAGCACAAGAACAAGTCAAAAATGCACCATAATGTGCATGCAGAAATGCATCTGGACTGCGTTTCTATAGTGTGAACCATCCCTTAGGCTTTTTTTCCCCTTTTAATTCACCTGGCAACCTGGCCAGTAGCACACTTCCTGTCTTAGGGTGTCTCTGCTCTGGATGGGGTTGCAAAGGAGATAGTGTAGACACAGAAGCAGATTTAGATGGACTTGACTAACGTACTCCACCTAAATTTTTAAGCAGTTACAGCAACAGGTTTTTTTTCCTTTTGGGAAAAATGAATAAAAGATGACAATTGTAATCTCCCCTGTCATTGTTGACCAGTTAACGACTGCCCTATAGCAGATATACTGCTACAGGGCAGCACCTGTGCACAGAATTATGTGTGTGTGTGTATATATGTATATATATATATATATATATATATATATATATATATATATATATATATATATATATACGTGATTTTGCATTTCTGGGTAGGGGGGGTTGTGAGAGCCATGCGCATGCCCTACCTGCGCCGTCAATCTCCGGGTCCCAGCCAGTGATTACTGGCGATCACCGACAGGGAGGAGGGCTGCTTTGTTTACCAACAGCCCCCCTCCCTGTCAGTTTGGGCACACTGCTAAGGATGGCTGAGCAGAGCCATCCCGATCAGTGTGCTTACAGTGAAGCACACACCCCTCGCCCCCTAGTAAAACGCTCCCTTCACATAGTTAACCCTTTGATTACCCCTCATGTTAGGCCATTCCTCCCCAGTGCCATTAGTACAGTGTCAGTGCTTTTTTTATCACTGTATTGGTGTCACTGGGGATGTCAGCAACGCAGTAACGCAAACCACTTCTGTAACTGCTTCCTGACCGCCCTATAGCAGAAATATTGCTACAGGGCGGCACGGGTGTGCAAAATCACACATATAAATATATATATATATATATAGTGATTCGATCTCCCGTGGTTTTCACACCCCTCCCAGATAGCCTCAGATTGCCCATCAGTACACCAGTAATCACATTTAACCCCTTGATTGCCAGGAACACGCTCATACACAATATACCTCCATTGCTAGTATAGTGTCTGAATGGATCAATATCTTTGATCAGATCAGCACTATACCAGCGTTCACATTAGTATAGTGTCCCCAAAAATGCAGTGTTAGCAGGATCAGCCCCGCAACCTGCCAGCACCCTCCCTTCTCCCCCAGCAAGTGCAGTGTCAGTAGGTCACTGTCACTTGATACATTGCACACAAAACCGCAGTGTTCGCAGAATCAGGCCTGATCTCTGCTAGCACTTGCTGGTAAATTTTGGTGACTCTCATATGCAGCAGAGTGCCAGTACTAGTGCTGCTCTACCTTTTGGTGAACTGGCGAGCACCAGCAGCCTAGTACATCCTGGTCTTTCACATACCAGCACTGCAGTATCACTTGGTGAAGTGGCGAGTCCCATAAGTACAGTACAAGCTGGTGCTGTGGCGAGCACAAGTATTGTCCCGCAAACACCAAGAATTTGCACACAGGCCCGTAGAGCCCCTAGTATCCTTCCAGACGTGCTTGCAAATCCCGATTGGCAGCCCACAATTTCTGCAGCACCCGTACTTCCCTCATTCACTGCCCAACCCAGAATTCAGGTGGAAACCGCAAATTTAACTACTCCCCTTGATTTTTTGGAGCCGTTTTTCACGGAAGATCTATTTATGTATTGATTGTGGATCAAAGCAATTTATATGCACAACAATTTTTTGCCGCCAACCCAAATTCAAACCTTGCCAGACCAGTCAAATGGAAACCCATTATGGTTTCCATATTTACATTTTTTTTGGGGCCTAACCTTCAACATGGGCATTACTAAAAAAAATTAATTGCGGTTGTATTGGTCCACAGACCCGATTCATCAAATGCCTGTGTTTTCTGCTGCCTTGGCCAGGCATAGATATGAGAGTATAATGTGTTTTATGCATTTCAATACACTGTCGTCTTTGGGGTGACCCTGAATTTGACCAGCTCCACAACTTTTGGCCCCTCATAAATCACCTTAACCACTTACCCTCTAGAGGATTTACCCCCCTTAATGACCAGGCCTCTTTTTGCTACTCAGCGCTGCACTAATTCAACTGAAAACTGTGCTGTCATGCAATGCTGTACCCAAACGAAATTTATGTCCTTTTTTTCACACAAATAGAGCTTACTTTTAGTGGTATTTGATCATCTGTGCACTTTTTATTTTTCGCGCTATAAACAAAAAAAGACCGAAAATTTTGAAGAAAAACTATATTTTTTACTTTCGGCTATAAAAAAAATATATAGTAAACTGAAAGTTAGTTATAAATTTAGGCCAAAATAGATTCTAGATGTTGTTGGTAAAAAAAAATCCCAATAAATGTATATTAATTGCTTTGTGTGAAAATTATAGCGTCTACAAACTATGGTATAGATACTGCAATTTACGCCATTTTTATGCTATACAGCGCTGCACTAGTTTAACTGACAATTGTGCGGTCATGCAATACAGTACATGAATTAAATTTATGTCCTTTTTTTAACACAAATAGAGATTTCTTTTGGTGGTATTTGATCACCTGTGTGCTTTTTGTTTTTGGCGCTATAAACAAAAAATGTTTTGAGAAAAAGATGTTTATTGGAAAAAAAAAAACTTTTCTCTTGTTATAAAAAATACCCAAAAAACTAAAATTTCGTCATAAATTTAGGCCGAAGTGTATTCTGCTACATGTTTTTGGTTAAAAAATCCCAATAAGTGTATATCAATTGATTTGTGTGAAAGTTATAGCGTCTACAAACTATGGTATAGATATTGGAATTTACGCAGCTTTTACTTTCTGATTCTGATTGCCAATCACATTTCTTGAGGTGCTAAAATACCAGGATAGTACAACACCCCCAAATGACCTCTTTTCAGAAGATAGACACCCTAAGCTATCTGCTGTGAGGCATATTGAGTCCATGGAAGATTTATTTTTTTTTACACAAGTTTCTGGAAAATGACAAAAACATTTTTTTTTTTTTTTTTTTTTACACAAAGTTGTCAATTAAATTATATATTTCTTGCACAAGCCATGGGTATATGTGGAATTACAACCAAAAATACATTCTGCTACTTCTGCTGAGTATGGGGATACCACATGTGTGAGACTTTTTGGGAGCCTAGCCATATACAGCAGCCCGAAATCCAATGACCAATTTGAAAGCCTGAAGGTGCGTAACTTCCTCATTACACTTCCTCACTACCTATCACAGTTTCCAAGGCCCTGACATGCTAGGATAGCACCAAACCCCCAAATGACCCCTTTCTGGAAAGTAGACACCCCAAGGAATTTAAAAAGAGGCATTGTGAGTATTTTGCAGATCTCATTTTTTTCTCACAAGGTTTTGAAATATAAAAAATAGAAAAAAAGTTTTTGCTTTTCTTCATTTTCCAAAATCTTGTGGCAACAAATGAGATCTGCAAAATACTTACCATGCTTTTTATCAAATTCCTTGGGGTGTTTACTTTCCAAAAAGGGGTCATTTGGGGGGGGGGTTAGGTGCTATCCTGGCATTTCAGGGCCTCCGAAAGTGTGATAGGTAGTCTGCAAGTGTAATGAGGAAATAAAGCCCTTTAAAAGCCTGAAGGTGCTTATTGGATTTTGGGGTCCTGTGCTTGGCTAGACTGCCAAAACGTCTCTCATATGTGGTACCCCCATACTCGGGAGAAGTAGCAGAATGTATTTTGGGGAGTAATTCCACATATAACCATGGCATGTGTGAGCAGTAAAACATTTAAGTGACAATTTTGTGTAAAAAAAAAAAAAAAAAATATTTTTTTTTTTTTTTTGTCAATTTCCAAAAACTTGTGGTAAAAAAATTAATTCTATTGATTCAACATTCCTCTCAGCAAATAGTTTGGGGTGACTACTTTCCAAAAAGGGGCCGTTTTGGGGGGGTGGGGGGCATTCTATGCCCAACATTAGATGTTTATGCCACACATCATTCACTCTTCTAACCACCTGAAGATCAAGCCTTTTGTCAGGGCTCCCAGGTGACCAGAGGTGTGTGACTGATGCAGGGAAACGCAGACTTCAGATATGTGATAAACAATACAATTTATTAACACTAACCATACAAACATAAACGCAGTGCAATACTAAAACATAATACAGTGCAAACAAACCCAACCAATCACCCACAGATAACAGTACATACAAGCAAGCGTCGTCAGGCAGGCCGGGTCAATATCAATTGGGCAGGTAGGTACAGGGGGAGCAAGCAGAGAATGGTTGGGGTCACACAGGTTCAGCAGGTAGCAAGCAGCGTAGTGCAGAGGGATGGTCAGGGTCACAAGCCAGGGATCAAAACAACAGGTAACAAGCAGCGTTAGTACAGAGGGTCAGGCAGAGAGGACAGAAACAGGATGCAGGACAGAAACAGGGCCCAACAAACACAACACCAAGGCAGAGTCTGTGGGTCTGGCCATCCCTTAAATACCCCAGCATCATCAGTTCCAGGTGTTATGGCTGAAAGGTTGAGTCTCTGATTGCTGGGAGCACCCGCTGGCCAGCCCTGGTACTGCAGATCAAAAGGCAGGTGAGTCCCCCATTGCTGGCCAGTCCATTCCTGACATTTTCTGACAATTTTGTTCACATGAAAAAAATCTGTATTTTTTGCAAGGAAATAAATTTAAACCCCTAAACATTATATATATTTTTTAAAACAGACACCCTAGTGAATAAAAAAATGGTGGGTACTTCAATATTTTATGGCACATAGTACTCGCGCAGCGATTTTTAAAGCAAATTTAAAAAAAAAAAAGATACACTTTTTTTTTTTTACTTTTAATGCACAAAAACACAATATATTGGTCAATTATTTGGTAAAATATAAAAGATAATGGTATGCCGAGTAAATAGATACCAAGCATGACCTGCTTTAAAACTGTGCATGCCCCGTGCAATGGCGACAAACTGCAAACTTTTTTTAATATCCTTAGGCAACGCTTTAAAAGCCTTTTAAAAGCTACCATTTTAGATTTACAGAGGAGGTCTAGTGTTAGAATTACTGCCCTTGATCTGACGTTCACGGCAATACCTCACATGCATGGTGCAACCGATGTTTACATAACGGCACAGGGTCAAGGCTTGTGCACACAGGATTGCGCGCATGGGAGGGGCGATTTTTTTTATTTATATTTTTTTAGTCTATCAGGCTCTAGATATCTCCTCTGCCCTTACATTATCTAATCAAACCAAAATCAGTGTGATCAGATGCTTTCCCAATTTACAAATGGCGCTGTTTATATCCTGCAAAATTGAAATGATGAAAAGCTTCCGGATTCTTGGACTATAGAGATGATTGGCACCACTCTGGTCTCCAATCAGCTCTATGGTCAGTTGCAGAAACACCGGCTGCATTCTAAGGTTCCCCCGATGGCACAAGACTGCCCGAGAAGGCCTTGGAAGGCAGTGGGGGAGGGGGTCATCATCGCCGGCTGAAAAAAACAATACCAGGATGATGCCTACAGCTGTAGGCATCATCCTGGTATAACCATTCAAAGTCCAGTGATGTACCAGTACGTCGCTGGTCCTTGTTGGGTATATATGCTATGTTCTTTTTTTTTTTTTTTTTTTTTTTTTTTTTTTGTATGCAGCCTGTGGACTGAATGACAAAAATGAAAGAAATCTCTGCCAGAAAAAGTGTGTGGTATGCCCACCATTAGAATATACCGCCCTGCATCCACCCACTTCTAATGGTGGGCACACATTAGGTCACACTTTGCCACATGCGCCAGTTCCAAGATTGAACAAAAGTCTAAATAGTGGCAGGCTTGAATAAAA